CCATTCAAAAATGTGGGGGAGATCCACAAAGAGTGGACTGCAGCTGGAGTCAGCGCTTCAAGAACCACCACGAGGAGACTCATGAAAGACATGGGATTCAGGTGTCGCATTCCGTGTGTCAAGCCACTCTTGAACATGAAACAGCGCAAGAAGCGTCTCGCCTGGGCCAAGGACAAAAAGGACTGGACTGATGCTGAGTGGTCCAAAGTTATGTTTTCTGATGAAAGCAAGTTCTGCATTTCCTTTGGAAATCAAGGACCCAGAGTCTGGAGGAAGAGCGGAGAAGCACAGAATCCACGTTGCATGAGGTCCAGTGTAAAGTTTCCACCGTCAGTGATGGTGTGGGGTGCCATGTCATCTGCCGGTGTTGGCCCACTCTGTTTCCTGAGGTCCAGGGTCAATGCAGCCGTCTACCAGGAAGTTTTAGAGCACTTCATGCTTCCTGCTGCTGACCAACTTTATGGGGATGCAGACTTCACCTTTCAACAGGACTTGGCACCTGCACACAGTGCCAAAACCACCAGCACCTGGTTCAAGGACCATGGTATCCCTGTCCTTGATTGGCCAGCAAACTCGCCTGACCTTAACCCCATAGAAAATCTATGGGGTATTGTGAAGCGGAGGATGCAATACGCTAGACCCAACAATGCAGAGGAGCTGAAGACGACTATCAGAGCAACCTGGGCTCTCATAACACCTGAGCAGTGCCACAGACTGATCGAGTCCATGCCACGCCGCATTACTGCAGTTATTGAGGCAAAAGGAGCCCCGACTAAGTATTGAGTGCTATACATGCACATTCTTTTCATGTTCATTCTTTTCAGTTGGCCAACATTAGAGAAACAAACATTTTTTCATTGGCCTTTAGAATATTCTAATTTTCTGAGATACCAGATTTGATGTTTTCATTGGTTGTCACCTATAAATATCAAAATTAAACGTAATAAACATCGGAAATACATTGGTCTGTGTGCATTGCATGAATATAATGTACAAGTTTCACGTTTTGAATGGAATTACTGAAATATTTTCAACCTTTTGATGATATTCTAATTTACTGGCCAGCACCTGTATGTGTGGCCATGTTAAGATAAAATACCAGTTTGAGTTTATTCCAAATATGACAATAATATTTGCTATTCATTATGTTGTAGTGAATAAAGAACATCTGATAAATGGTTCAGCTGAAACATCCCAAACAAATGCAATAATGGGGCTGATCTTACACACATTTTGGTAAAAAAACAGACATTATAAATAGATGTTAAATCCAAAATGCCATGCAGCATCATAAAAAGCTAGACCAGCTATGGAAATGCATTATAAAGAAAGCTTGCACGTGCCCACAAAGAGTTTCTCACAGGTACTGATTTTGTGCAGACATTTTGAAACACACACACACACACACACACACACACACACACACACACACACACACACACACACACACACACACACACACACACACACACATGCACGCACACACAATCTAGTATTTCAATTTATACTAGGAATTTGTATTTACTTCCATTCATTTTAGTAAGTACATTTATGCCTAACCATAACCCTAACCAGTGTATTCCCAAACTTAACTGTCTCTTTTGTAAACAATTGTATGAAAATGTATGAGACCCCAGGAAGACTAGCATCTGCACTTAGGCAGAAGCTAATGAGGATCTCAATAAAACGAAACGAAACGAAACGAAACTGTAAAAAAAACTCAATTCATATCTCATGTGTAAACCTCACCCCTAAGCCTGAGATAGGGAGTCCGCCATTTCAGGACCGGGTTTTGGTCCTGATACGGACCATCAGTCTTCAGAAGATTAGTGAATATGCCATTTCTGGTCCTAAGTAGGATAGCTGTACACACACACACACACACACACACACACACACACACACACACACACACACACACACACACACACACACACACACACACACACACACACACACACACACACACACACACACACACACACACACACACACACACACACAGAGGTTATAAAACAAATTCTCTGATATACCTGGAGAAGAAATTCACTCAGCTACAGTTATTACTGTGATCGTTTAGATAAAGTATACTGAAAATGAGCTTTCTGTGGGCTCTTTTTCCTTTTCATTTTTTAACAAATCCTTTGACATGGTTTGATCTAAATTATTATTAGGTTTTGATTTCAAAAACAACACTTAGATGGTTTAAGGAGATAATTACTTCTTCAACTGTGAAGCTGAGCTTTAAGTTCACTTTAAAACCACAGAGACCTATTTGCATCCTGTCTAATAGAAAATTAAATATCAGAATCTTTATCTCAAGACAAAAAACTTTCTTTCACTATGCATTATCATCATAAATAACAGAAAATACTTTTTAGACAATAAAAGAACAACTGAACGTTGAGCTCCTCCTTTCTAAGTGTTCCCAGTTTAATGTTCAGTGGTGTTTAAACTGGTTGAACAGCTGTAATCTGGTTCATTAAATCATATTTATGATGTGAACTCACTTCCAGCTAGAACAATAAAATCACTATAGTTAGATCTCCTCCACATGCCGCTTTTACAGAAGAGGGTCACGAGATAATGCTAAAACCCTGCTGAATAAACATTGAGATGCAAGTTCATTTTTAATGAGCGGAACGTGACTGCAGTTACGTAACATAACTTACGTAACGTTAGTAAGGCAGAGCAGGCTTTGGGATAAACCTGAAGGTCTTTGCAGCCGTGGCTCTCTCCAACCTGCCTGGTGTTTAATGTTTGTTGTATCTCAGAGCTCATCTTTTCTCTCTCTGCAGCCCCTGAGCCAGTCTAAACAAAGTAGACGCCCATCCTGAGTTTGCTTATGGAGAACTCTTCATGATGAAAATGAGCTATTTTCTTCCCTACTGTCAACAAAAAAATTCCCAACAGCAAAAGTTAGGTTTACATTATGTTTTTATTATATATTAAGAACTAAACTATATAATCTGTAATACTCTGGAATGAGTTAAAAAGTGCAATTGAGTTAAAACAATTTCAGATGGATGATTAATATTTCTATGAATACATCTTTTTTTTACTTAAATTTATGTTTTTGTTGATCAATTTAAATAATAGAAGGAATTAAAATAAGTCAAACTTCCAAATTATGTATTTTGCACTTGAATTGAATGTTCACGTGCTGCAAGAAAACCATCTAAGAAAGGAAAAAGTGCGAATAAGGCACGACAAGGCACCATTATTCCTATGGAACAGTACATTTCATACACAGATGTGCCTTCCATTAGCAAGAATAGCAAGAACTATCAGCATGGCAGCACAATTAAAATACATTCATCCATCCATCCATTTTCTGAACCCGCTTGTCCATGTAGGGTCGCGGGAGGGGGCTGGTGTCAATGGGCAATCGGGCGGGGTACTCGCTGGACAGAGAGCCAGTCCATCGCAGCAATTAAAATACACACAAATTAATTTAAGAACTAGAAAACAAAGCAAAAACTATGTTAAACGGTGAGCAGTTACAGTGCTGAAGGTGCAGCATAAGAAACAATGGTAAATGGCTTGTATAAGATATAGCGCCTTCTAGAGTCCTGGAACCCCCCAAGGCGCTTTACAATACAATCAGTCATTCACCCATTCACACCCACATTCACACACTGGTGGGGATGAGCTACGATGTAGCCACAGCTGCCCTGGGGCGCACTGACAGAGGCGAGGCTGCCGAGCACTGGCGCCACCGGTCCCTCCGACCACCAGCAGCAGGCAACGTGGGTTAAGTGTCTTGCCCAAGGACACAACGACAGCGACAGACTGAGCAGGGCTCAAACCTGCAACCTTCAGATTACGGGGCGAGCACTTAACTCCTGTGCCACCGTCGCCCCACAATCATTCAAAGGCTGATGAATACATGACAGTTTATTTTGATTTAAAAGTTACAAGAGTTTGAGCACATTTGAGGTCATAAGGACGTTGGTTCCATCCGTGTGCAGCATAGTAGCTATTAGCAGCTCATAAGGTGAAATAGTTACTTTAATTGGCTGATTCTGAAACAGCAGTGCTGATGTTTATTTCCAGAAACTTCGAACATTTTAGGCCAAAACATTGTTTGCAGGTACATAAACGTATTTACAATTATTACTGATTTTATGTCAGTGTACTCACACTTTTGTTAATTTATCGTTTCAATAAACCAATGTTCCTAATAGTAAGCTGTAGTTTTTTTTCCCTTTTTTGGACTCCATTTATTACTTTCCTTTACTTTCTGCAACTATCATTAACCTGTTCTAAAGTAATAAAAAAGTAATAATACGAGTAATAGTACTCTTGATATTACAGCTGATGTAAAACTCTCTTTCATCATGATCAGATGTACAAACATTCATGTCAGCAAGTTAACATCACAGTAACAGAGAAATAATTAAACAGTCCTATATCCGCATCACCCCCACATACACTCACTCCATGCCATTTAAACTAATGGAAACTTCCCTCCTGGGCACAGCATGGGCTGTCACCATGACCCATTTCCTGCCAGCTCTAAACCATTTGAGCCAGGGACTCATATTCCACTCAAGGGGCTTTAAATCATTCTGACTATACAGGCACATCACATGATGTGAGGTGGGACCCTGAGCACCATATCTGAGGCAAAAATGGGACAAGGTCTCCCTCTGCTGCTGCATCATACACTCCCCTAGGATAATGGTGTGGGATCCCTGAAGCAGCTAAAATGTTTTCCTTCAAAACAAAATAATTGGAAGCCAGTGAAAATGTTCTGGACTAAAGTCCAATCTGGAGAAAAAAAAGGCAACCAGTGAGCCTGCAGATATTGCATTAAAAGGACCATTTATAATTTGAATTTAATCAAAATAACCAGAATTTGTATCAAATTATTTTTATTCATGTTTGAAATGCATAGTTTGCTTTAAATAGTTATATTAGAGAGAAAAATAGTAGGAATTTACGAAAAATTAGCCAAACAGTGTGATCTTTCCTTGAAGGGCAACACATTGCGCATGCGCATTGCTGTTGTTGCTCCTGACGCTCGAGACGCTCTGCTGGAAAAAGCCACCTGAAACACAACCGGAAATCCATCCACTCACGTGTAGCGTTTGTCAACCTTGAGAAACCGAGACGCTAGCTTAGCATTTGATGTCTTCATACAAAGCACGTTAATAATGCCAGTTGCCAGAATGTTGTAAGTAACAAGCGTTTATTTGCCAATTTGTGCTTAAAACGGGTTCGTTTTTATGGTAAGACACTGATCGTTTTAACACGTGATTGATCTGAAGCAGCTAATTTAAGTGGCTAACACGTCGCAAGGTTTCAGCACTTGTTTGTCCGAATATTCCTCCGTGAAAACTTTACATTAACGTTTAAATTCTTGGTTAAAACTCTTCCGTTGTCGACGTTTGTATTTGCTATTCATTAAAAGCAAATATACGGTACGATAATGAAGCTAGCTAGCATTAGCTAGTTAAGCTAAAAACAAATGCTGAGTTTAGTCGTGCTACAAGCAAGTTTACTGTGACTCGTCTTATTATTGATCACAAGGTGGTGCAGAAACTCAACTGTTTCCGATTCATTACACAGTAACAATCATGTTCTCAACATTTTTAACTGAACACAGTTTAAAGTCGTGTGTATCTAGCAATACAGATACCAAGCCCATTAACGAATGTTATATTAAATCAGCTGTTTTAAGATTTGATCAACATTTACTCCTATATTTAAATCTGCAAAAACAATAACATCAAATATATTAATAAGAAAGTAATTCAAACGGTTGTAAGAAGAATTTACCAACATTAAACTAACATTGACCCCATAAAAACAAATGCTACTTTTCTAAACACATTTGAAATTAAACGAGTCAGTCAACCAATAAAGCTGTGATAGAGGCATTCAACCACCAGAACACAAGTCATATTTTGAGATTTTATCATTTAATATCTAAAACACATATACTCTTTTTTTTGCAGTAAAATGTTACAGAAAAGCTCAAGTTCTACACATCTAGCTTTTAATGTTTCACTAGTGAATATTTCTAAATATGCTGAAATAATTCTGATGCTTCTTATCATAAATTCTCTCATCTCTTCTCAGACATTCGGTCTACCAGCTGGGTAACCCCCAGCTGAGGATATTCAGACCCAACTGGTTCCTCACTCTAGTGAGGCCTGGGAAAGAGCAGCCTCCTGACACTGTCCAGTTCCGCATCCCAATAGAGTAAGTATTGTTTCACAGAAGTAAAAAAAAAAACAAAAAAAAACGCAATTAAGAGCTGTTTTGGGGTAAAATCTAAGTTCATCATTAACACTTTTCTTTAATTATTTCATAGTTGTTTTATTGGCCTGGCTGTAAACTAACAATTCACAAAATCTCTTTAAATAATAAATACATTTTAATAAAATGGAACACAGAGACATTAATAAACTAATGTTTTTGAGTTGATACTCCTTCACACACTGAAAAGCAGAGTGCATGGTTTGTTTTTTCAGTTTCAAACTTGCAATACAATTAGAAAATATTTCCTTTTCATATCACATTAGTTTGTCTTCACTGTCTGTGATGTGCTTAACCTGTTTAAATACAGGTGAAATGCAAACAATCAGAATTTGGTGCAAAAGTCCTTTTATTTCAGTAATCCAACTTGGACTGAGAGACCATCTGAAGCAGGGGTCACCAACTTTTGAAGCTTAGAGCAACTTCATGGGTAATAAATCTTACAATAGAAAGAAAACAATCTTTTCTATAACGCCTCTCAAGATAAAAATCACGAGGCGCTTCATGAAAACAAAAAAATTAAAATATAAAAAATATTTTAGAAAATTTTTAAAAATATGCTTTAAATAAGCAAAAATAGACGATTGTGATTAAAAAATGCTAAGAAAAAGCGAGAGAGTGAATAGGAAAGGGGGAAATCAGTGGGTCCTGGGGAAGGCGGAGAAGGTGGGGAGAGAAGAATAAGGAGAGGGAGGTGACGAATAGCCACCAGTAGGGCTGCAACAACGAATCGATAAAAATTGATGACAAAATGCGTTACCAACACGTTTCGTCATCGATTTTTTCTGTTGTGCATAGGGTTGTCACGGTAACCGGTGTAGCGGTAAACCCCGGTAAAAAAGTTGACAATAATAACCGTCTTGTTTTTTTTTCTAAATATATTATCTCGGTGGGTTACCATGGCTGCGGTGTAGTCGCGGTGAGCCTTACCAGCCACCGTATCATCTGCTGAAGTTGCCGGCGGCACATGTGCACTTTGTTGTTTACAACCAAAACTTTCTTGAAGCTAAAGCTGAAATAATGGCCAAAGGAGGAGACAGTAGCCATCAGGACATTTATTATCCCTCAAAGAAGACAAAGTCGGAAGTATTGGCATTTTTTGGATATTTGAAGAATGCCGAGGGACAGTTGATAGAAGATGGCTATCCTGATTGCAGCACGTGCAGATAAAGTGTCTGTGAAAGGCAGCAACACTTCAAATCTCATGACACATCTGCGTGACCATCACACACAACTCTACAAACAACGCAAGGCAAGTTAACGTTAGCGTTTTAGCTAAAATGCGTGATCCAAGGATTTGGGTTGAGGGAGAATGCAACGAGTCGCTATATAAAGCAGCCGCAGCGCCGCTACCTGCATATAAACCGTGTCGCAGACACCCCCATGTTGAAATGACGCTATGCATTAAGGGGCTCCCAGGGGCAGATAAGAGTTGGTCTCTCTCCAAGAATAATTATGAATTTAACAACGATTACTGCCTGATGACATTTTCCCAAATCTGCAAAGCTCACTGGAAGGACCCAAACCGAGGACAATATTTTCCTGATATAGGGTTTATTACTCAAGTAAGGGTAAAAAAAAGTATCTGATTAGAAGGCTACTTGAGTACTGAGTATCATCTGATCTAATATTTTTAAAATGATGACATCAAACAGACAAAAAATAAGAAGTTATGGGCAAATATTGGTATTTTAAAGACTAAAGGGGAAAATGTAAACAAACAACATATTTACAAAATAACACATTTTAGGCAAAATTTAGACACAAACTGAGGGCAATATTTTCCTGATATACAGGGTTTATTTAGTTGTCTGAAAATGTAACACATTTAAAAAAATACCGCAATAATACCGAAAACCGTAATAATTTTGGTCACAATAACCGCGAGGTTAAATTTTCACACCGTAACAACCCTAGTTGTGCAACCTGATTTTCATGTTGCGCAACATTATTTAACAGTCAATGCACGCAGCTCATGTGTAGGAGGCAACAGAGCAGACCTAGGCAGATCAGAACGAGAGAGAAAGCCGGTGTTTTGATGAGGAACAACACACATCGAACATTAAGCTGTTTTCTCATGCACAAAGTGCTAATGTAGGTGGTGAGGAGGAAAACAAAAACCAGCAAAGACAAAGGAAGAAACTGTTTGGGATCAAAAGTGCAACTGCGGGCAGATTAGCTAATGCTAGCAGGCTAATGATCAAGTGGGGTTCTGAAAAAAACATGATGATCGTAAAACTTAGAACATCTAAACTCTACAAGCATAAGAAAAGTCTCCATCATCCTGTTTATTCTTAGCTGGCTGCAGCGCTATGGAGCAGAACCGCTGCTCTCGGGTTCGAGTCTGCTCTGCTAAACGCTGCAGCAGGATTATGGCAAGCCACTGTAGCATGTAATTCACAAACGTGTCTATCTGTGAACATAATTTAAACAGGATTATTGCCAAGCCGTACATAATAAATATGCCACCATTACATTTTTTGCTGTAGAAATTAAATGTTATTAGTGTTGGATTAGCATTTCCAGTAGCTTACTACTGAACATGTTAATGAAATACATACAATTTTACTGCTATTTAGGTGATAGCATGTTGTTTTGCACATTATTGAACTTTTTTCTAATCATGTTTTGTTGTTCAATAAAGGAAGGAGAGAAAAAATGTTTCCCTAGCAGTTTTAAAATGTTCCAGTTTAATCCGATTAATCAAGTCGAGACCCCATCAGATTCATGGATGATCCAAATAATCGTTTGTTGCAGCCCTAGCTACCAGGTTGATACAATACTGACTTTTGAACTGGAATAGATCAGAGTTAAACTAGACTTCATGTATAATAATCATAATTTATTGTTTATAAAGAATATTGTAGTTTTTAGAAGATGTGAATGTGATTAAAAAGATGGCAGCAGATTTTTTGTTCATTGTAGACTTGTGCTATTTAGAAAAAAACATGCGGGCACTAGGTTCGTGACCCCTGATTTAAAGGCTCAAGAATCTGTTACAGGTGTTTTGGATTCAATAGTTGTGTGTGATGCTTTGAGCCTAGAATATTGAACCTTTTCACAATATTCTAATTGTCTGAGATTTTGCATTTTGGGTTTCCATAAACTGTAAACCATGATCATCACAATTAGAACAAATAAAGGCTTGACATGTCTTTCTATGCATGTAATGAGTCTATCTCATATATCAGATTTGCCTTTTAAGTTGAATTACTGACGTGAATTAATTTTTGCACACTGTTAAATTTTTTTTAGTGTTCCCTGTAATCTGGCCACCAGGTGGTGTAATAACCTTAAGCAAAGAGGGTAGACCACAGTTCTCCACAGTGTAGACAGTATGTACTTTATGATGACCTCAGTGAGAGTCGTAACAATGACATGTTGAAGGCTGATTGTTGGACATCATGCTCTAAGTTTATTCAAATTGTAAACTAGAAATGGAGCAAAATGTATCTCAAACTCATGCTGAATGGAGACTACTGCACCTTGAACCACTTGACTAAGTCCTAGCTTTGTTATTTTAGTGATACGTTTGATAAACGTGCATATTGAAGACCGATGTTTTAAATGTATGCATATGGTCTACGTTTCATGGGTTTGGAAAACATATTTGCTGTCTTAAAACACTTGATGGGGTCATTGCCATCAACCACAGCAGTGATGAGCTGATTTCTGACTACATCTCTGAGCCAAGATTACAGAATATTTGTAGTGCACCTCAGGCGAGGAGAGGCCCAGAACCCTCACTAAGGAGAAAAATTGAAGTTTGCAGCAGATCATCTATGTGTCTCTGGTGGGGTTTACACCATAATCTGTTCATCCAGGTGCTTGGCCTCCCACTCTGTTTTTTGCCTTTTCGCTGCCAAACTCCTAGGGTGCTTATGTAATTTTGTGTGTGTGTGTGTGTGTGTGTGTGTGTGTGTGTGTGTGTGTGTGTGTGCATGCTCTTTTCTGAGTATGGGTGAGTCAGTGAGAATGGTGTGCATCTTTGTGTATTTATGCACAAAAGTGGGTAAGTGCAGGGTGCGTGTGTGTTTTTAAAAGGGTGTGTAAGGTTATTTTTCTGTACTGTCTTTGATGCTTGGAAGAGGTGCGCGGCTGATTGATACTCTGCTGGGACCTCATTGTGTGCCTGAAACATTGTTTTTTTTTCTCTATTCATATCAACAATGTAGTATGAGGACACACGTATAGTCAGACAATGACACAAACTAAATATCACTCCCAGCTTATTGATAAAGCCTGAGTCAGTCTGACAGCGAAAGCTGTTGTGGTTCGGATTCTCTAGGGTGGGCGTGTAAGCGTGGGTGAACTCATGAACCAAGCAGCTGTTAATGAGAAGTGCTAATGCTGGTTATTGTCAGGCCAGTGAGGCAAGTTATTCTTTGTTTTAACCACACTTGGCTGCTTTGAGTTCTCTGAAGTTTGCCGCGTTAACTCATGCTTTAATTTCATTTTTCTGCTTGATTTTCCGTCGAAATTTCACTCATTTGCAAACATCTGCAAGTTTTCACTGTTCTCTTTAGTCCTCTGTTCTCACCCTGAGCTTGGCAGTTTGTATATATTTTTTATACAACTTTGCTGTGCATCCAAAACCAATCCCTCTTTGACACTTGTTGCTTGAAACACCTGGCCAGTGTGTTTTTTTTTTCCAAATTCTGTTTCTAGCTGCTGGAGGGAAGTAATTGTTTGTCTTTATGATTGTTCTCAGATCTTTTGTGCTCTGTAAGTATTTCCTCCCTGGTTTAGAGCATCATCAAATTTCTAGGTTTCCACCCACACAACTTTCATACACCTCACCTGGCATGGCTGGAGGCCAGTGCTGATTACCACAAAAGCACGCATCAGTACAATCCCTCACTATTTCTATCCACCTGTTCTGCTTAATAAGCACATGTTGGAAACTAGGTCAACGTTTAGGTTGATATTTTAAATAATTTCTG